AACTTTTACACAGTATCGCTTTACGAAGTTCGTCTAATGACATGCTCGATCGAACTAGTTTGAAACACAATGATGCGTTTAAGCAGCCATGTTATCACTCTTTACCGTTAGAACGAATATTTGTCAGTTTCCCACTGTCCCTATTTCTTCAAATAGAGACTTAATTGGCCGTTCTCTGCTGTACTAACCCCGGATATGTAGCGCTCCCTAAAAAGGAGAGTAACCGTGAAAGAAGAAGTGCTACAATGGTTTCGTAGTTCCAAAATTCTCCGCGCTAAGTGCCGTTATATCACGAATGCAACCGAAAACTTTGTAACAGGACGCAAATAAACCTTGATCAAGAGTCCATTACTTCCATGATAGGTAATGGGCTTCTGCCTTAATATAGTACTTTTTTCCTCAGCTCTGTAAATGTATTATAGTAAATTACTAAACATTTCACTAAAAGAAATGATCAATGACTGGGAAATATAATTGTTTATCTGAGATTATTCATAGACCGGCTCTTGGTCTTTGCTACTTATGAATCTAAAATTACTTACTAAAATGTTATGAATTCAGATGCGTAACTGTTGGCAACTTGGGATTTACTTTACACATCCAACCGTTTGATTGACAGCCAAACGGCATTGAACCGTTGTTCGGTCATGTAACATGCTGGAGTTGCGGCGTAAGGTGTTTCACTAAGTTCGTTTAGTGCTGAATCACTGCAGAGACTTGGCACCCAGCCACCTCGTTCCTATTATTCCCTATTCACTTAATCAACAAAAAACTCGAAATGTTGTTTCGTCTATTTTGTTCAATTCGTTACATATCTGCTATTACAGACCTTTTCTTTCTTTCGTTGTTATTTTCAATTTCTCAATTTAAAGCAAGATAGCCGGACAACAGAAAAAAAGAGATATTCTTAGTAGTCGTAGCAATAATGGGATAAGACAGGTTAGTGCTAAGATCATGCCCTCATTTCCAAACGGAAACATGAGTTACCGCAATACCGAGAATAGAGTTACACAAGATTACAAATTTGCATAGATCGCCTCTACCCCAATGACCCCTTTGAAATTTATTTTATGAATAATTCCTGAGTCTTTTCAATCAATTTAGCGGAAATTGTGCAAAGTCATTGAGGTAGAGAAGAGGAAGAAGAGAGAAGACTAATAATTGACTGATCATGTTCCTCTGGATAACTCGCCCTAACGGCCACCTCAGCGTTGTATAGAAAAAACACAACAATCCGCTTCTCAAATTTCACCTACGTACACACATATAAAAAATCACATACGCGAAAAAACGCCAGACTTCCAGTGGCAGGAAAAACCTGCTGATGACCAGCTTGTCGGCTCAGCTCAAGTTACTTTTCATATCATTTAATACGGTAAATTAGGCCTCGCAGGTCAGTCAAATAAGCAAATAATTTGGTTGATACTGAGCGTGTTTTACTAGTACAGCTTGTGGTGTGATTTTGCCTATAACAAGACGAATTCAGAAGAAATGGCTTTTTTCTCTGATCAATTTCTGCGTGGTGTATTGTTTTTCGCTGTTGGTGGAGTTTCCTCGGTAGCGATTTTAAAGATCTGGGAAAATAGAGAATCAGTGATGAGAGAAATCAGGGGACGATTTTATTCAAACGAAACCCGGCAGCCAGAAGAACACGACGAGAGGTTTGACTGAGAAGGTAACAGTTATAACAATAACGAGAACATTTTTTTATGAGTTTGACAAATAAGTTATCTCCTGAAAACCTTGTCAGGTATGTTGGTTCTTCTTTCAAGCGATTCTTCCACTTCAGAGAACTCGATCATGGAAAATGTTCAAACAGAGAAAATAATGGTGTGCTTCTCGCCCGAATCAAAGAGACGAATATGTTTTTACGATCTGATCAACAAATAAATGTGGCTTTGATAACTCAAAACAACAGCGCAACGTTCATTGTGTTTTAGCTAGTTTAACGATACAAGCTAGAAAATAGAAACTTGGAACCAAGCCAGGATGCAGGGTGAGACAAACGAGGGTCGATGTCAAAGTTCGCGCACTTCCGCCTAATGATAGTACATACACGCGAAGCGAGAAAGAATGTCAGTGAACATTTTCTCGGTGTTTACATTGTTAATGCAAAGCTGGAAAGTGTCCAGATAGCAGCTTAAGGACAGAGAAGTGAAAAAAGGTAAATGTGAAGCAATGATATATGTTTTGTTAATTTTTCAGACATAACAAGAAATCAAGAAAGCTATTGTGTAATGGTCTGATCCAATTGACGTCTTCTATTGTATGCTGAGCTGTTAAGGCTTTTAGAACTGTATATATTGAATGTCACAAATAGGTACAGCAGTTCATTAATATGCACTAGCCTGTCGTTATTGTTTAGCCTCGCTGGATTATGTAATGCAGATCAATAATAATTGTTGTTGTGACCATAGGACAAGTGGGTTTACAATTTGTTTACATGATAATATAAAATACGAATAAAAAGTAAATGACCTCCTTTTTGCCGATACCGCTTTTGTACCGAATATCGTGCCCTCTAGCGGTCAGTTTTTAAAGTTCTTGCTATGTATTGAATGTTGCAGCCTTATTGATGGATGAAATAAACTGAAAGATAAAAAAAGACACCGTCATCTACTTACGTGATTTGTTTTTGATGTCGATTGTACCCAAGAACGATCACCGGCGCAGCCACTCTAATGTCTATTTTAAGAACAGTGTTTCGTCCTGATGGCTTATTGTCCGTCAGTCCAATCCAGAGTGGTTTGATTATAAACCCTGGAGGGAGGGATGTGAGACGGACTATTACTACGAAGGGAGGGGTGGGAGGTGGTTGTAGTGGTAAACACTACTGGTTAATGGAACTTTGAATTGAATTACTCAAATTTAGATCAAATTAAGTTCTTTGTGTTCATAGTCTCGAATAAGATTGTGTTAGCTCTTCCTTTAGTGCTGAAATGTGTCGCGGCGGAATAGTGAGCTTCTGTTCATCATCATGCCGTTTAAAAAAGAGCTCAGTCTAGCGATAGTAGCGATAGTAGTTTATTATATAGCGAAGATGTATCAAACACATCTCCTTTATTTCGAGAAAATCTGAAGTGGCCCATTTTCCTCAGGTGAGCGGAATTTATCACGTTCAACACACTGTTACTGCCGAATTACCGTCAGTAAAATCTGAAAATGCTTGATGTAGCTAAATTTAAACTTATACAACTAAAAAGAAAAAATCCTTCGTGAAATTTCGTAAAATCGTAACAGTGGTTGTCACAGTTAACATCAGAATATTGCGCATATTAAATGTGACGAGCAAACTATCACAGCGAACGAACAGCGGAAGAATGTGATTGTTTTTAAAGTTTCAGTGTGTTGTGACCTCTGTCGTAGTAATATTAACCTTGATTTACTAGTTATGACGAACCCAACGTCGATTACGAATCTTTCTCAAGACTTAATATAAACGACTTAACCAATACTTCCCTTGCGGCGACAGGAACTAAATGGAAAGATTTGCCTTCGCTAGCACAAGGAAGTAAATCGCGATTAAAATGCAAACTTGAGTTATTCAAAATGAGGAACTCAAGAGTTCTGTTGTCTCAAACTTCCACGGATTGATGTTGAGACTGTTGTCTCAAACGGCACGGATTGATTTAGAGGCAGTTCAGGCTTTAAGTCATATTCATCTCTATATTTTTATATTTGATTTGAAGAGACTTGTGAAAGGAACTTG